GTGTATAAATGGCAGGTCATACTTCCTTCCATCAGTGCTGGTAGTTTTGGTGTACCAAAAAATTACTTTTGGTTCTTTCTTACTTTCCATTAGTAATGATGTATTGGATTTACATGATTAGGTTTTGGTGGAGGAGGGGGCAACAAGTGATGGCTTCTGTGAAAGCTGCCAGAAGCTTCCCCTATGTCTAATGGAGCCAATGCCAGCCAGCTCCAAGACTGAGCCCATCAGCAACGGCAGTAAGGCCTCAGGGCTAACACAGTTAAGAGGGGGAAAAAGTTATGGTGCAGGACCAATTTCAGCAAGTGGAGAGAGAAGTGAGAATATGTGAGAGCAACAGCTCTGCAGACACCAAGGTCAGTGCAGAAGGAGGAGGAGGCGCTCCAAGTGCCAGAGCAGAGGTTCCCCTGCAGCCCATGGAGGTCCATGCTGTACCAGGTATCAACCTGCAGCCTATGAAGGACCCCACATTTGAACGGGTGGATGCCCAAAGGAGGCTGTGACCCTGTGGAAAGCCCACACCGGAGCAGGCTCCTGGCAGGGACCTGTGGACGCATGGAGAGAAGAGCCCATGCTGGAGCAGGTTTGCTGGCAGGATTTGTGACCCCATGGGGGACCCACACTGGAGCAGTCTGTTCCTGAAAGACTGCATCCCATGGGAAGAGACCCATGCTAGAACAGTTCATGAAGAACTGTAGCCTGTGGGAAGGACTCATGTTGGAGAAGTTCATGGAGAACAGGAATGACAGAGAGGCTTTGGTGGACACTCAGTGTCCAGCCAAGATGCACCCACCACAACTGTAAAGCAATGTGCTTATCTACCTATATACATGCACTGTGTTCTACAAATCTCTCCTAACATTGCACAGTGACATGTTCATAGTTCAGGATCCTTTTTGAGTGCCATTGTTCAAAAGCTTAAATTACCTCATGTTATGTCTGCCAGTAGAGGGAGCCAATTTTATTCCATAAACATAAGGGAAAACCAGATGTTTTTTAACAGGAACACTCCTGGTCTTCTTACATTTTTCAAGTCAGAAATTAATAAAACCCAATAGTTTTTCAGTGACATCTGTATAGCATGATTTCGAAGGTCTCTGTGATCCATATAGCCCTATAAAGTAACCTGAATTTGCAGAAGACAGTAGGAATGAATTTGAAAGCCAGATTCCTCATACATTTCTTACCCTTTTTTCAATAATTCATTTATTCAATTATTTTATACAGCAATAAACAGCTGTGCTAATCACTTTTGATAGACAGTACACACAAAACAAGAACTCCAATTAAAGCAGCTTACTTTGTCACATTCAAAGTTATTATGATTGTAGCAGATCTGCTTTTAGATCCAGAAAGATGATGAAAAATCACTTGTTCTTAATTTTTTATGCCAGTTTTAGATTTTGATCAGCAAATATCAGCAGAATGCCTTAGGTTAGGATCAAATGTGCCTCCTTTCATACCACCTGATTGAAAAAAAGACCTTTTTGAACTGCCCATTTATAATATAACTGAGTTAATCAAAATATTTTTCATGCAAAAGCAAGTAAGAATACTTAATAGCAGATTGCATTATATTATATATATTTTAAAAAAACCCAAATATTTCTTAAATTTGCAATGTAAAAGTTAAGGAAAATTTTAGTCGCTATTTTGATGAAACACTAGTTTTAAATGTTCTTTTGTAAGTCTGGATTTTGAGGAAAGGATCTTAAAAATGCGACAGAAAAAGTAAAAACATAACTCACTAAAATGAGATGTGTTGAGGAAAAAAAAAAAGAAAAAAGGAAATTCCTGTGTTAGTTTACTAGTACACCTCTATACCCAGTACCGGTATAGGGGTTGTTACAAACAGCAGATTTTCAGCATTATCATCAATAAGCTTCCTGACATACAGGATTGAATGCAGTTTTGGCTTTTCCTGAAATAGTATGTCCACTAATACTACAAGAGTGGCAAATTTTAGTTAAAAAACATGCAGAGACCTAATTAATTCTTTGCAATCCCAAGTACAGCTAGACCCCCTAGTCTGCTGAGGCTGCATTCCTGAATAATGCAGTAGTAAGCAATTCAATCAACAATAAAGCAATTTTTCTTGTAACAACTATTCTGAAAGAGAAAGCAAAAATACTTACACACTAATATTGGTGTTGGGTGGTTGGTCTCGTAGATGAGGCAGCTGAGATCTTTCAGAATGGAAATCTGTTCAGAAAAGTTAGCTGCTAGAAAGTCAGCACCTTGTCTGGCTGAAGTACTGGTGATGCCATGGCTCCCATGGGAAGCTCCAGGATCCAAATAAAAAATTAAGGTAAAATCCTTAACTTGTGTGGGATACTGCCAAATGTCTCAAAGAAAAAATAGTAAATGAACAATATCTAAACCTTTTTTATACAAGATGGTTATTAATTTTTTTTCCTTCATAAATAAACATTAGTGATTTAAAGCTAAAGGAAATCCACAGGGAAAAAAAAAGTTAATTTAAACTTATTAGTTTACATTTACTTATTAGTAATAAATAATCATATCACTAACACATACTAAAACAAAATATTTTTACCTTTGCATTTATTCTTTCTACTTCATCAGGTTCATGTTCATCCATGGTAAGATCTGCATAAACGTAAAACCAAAATTCATTACTTGGGTGTTCAGACCTCAAGAACCATTTAATAAATACTCTGCAAGAAGCAATACTGTGAAGTTACCCATATCCAGTTCCTGAACTAGTATAAAACTTCTTTCCAGGAAGAATATATCTTTCAGTGCTTTCAGTTGTGGACTGAAGTACACATATAAGCCTCCTATTTCTATAAGAGCTGACAAATGCACATCTAAAATAGCCACAGAAGGTTTTGAATACAGAACTCACACATAGTCTCTCCCATCAGAAACAGCACACTTATAACTGCTGATTTTGGCTAGGGTAGAGTTAATTTTCTTCCCCATGGCTACTATGGGGCTGTGTTTTGGATTTATGCTGAACACAGAGTTGGTAATGTACAGATGTCTTTTGTTTTTGCTGAGCAGTGCTTACACAGAGCCAAGGCCTTTTCTGCTTTTTGTACTGCCACACTGGTGAGGAGACTGAGGGTGCAGAGGAAGTCAGGAGAAAACACAGCCGGGATAGGTGACCCCAGCTGACCAAAGGGATATTCCACACCATAGGACATCATGGTCAGTACATCAGTGGGGGAAAGAAGAGGGGTATTTGGGGTGACGGTGTTTGTCTTCCTAAGTAACCGTTACACGGGATGCGGCCCTGCTCTCCTGGGGATGGCTGCCTACCCATGGGAAGCAGTGAATTAATTCCTTGTTTTGCTTTGCCTCTGTGTGTGTCTTTTGCTTTGCCTAATAAACTGTCTTTAACTCAACCCACCAGCTTTCGCTTCTCTGATTCTCTCCCCAATTTTGCTGGTGGAAGAGTGAGCAAATGGCTGTGTGGGCCTTGGCTGTTGGCTGGGATTAAACCACATGAATATCCAACAGAAAGCTCCGAGAGATTCATATCACACATTAGCCATGTCTGTCGTGGGTGCAGAGCAGAAAAGCCGCAGCATCACAGTGGTGGAAATACATCTAATAACATAGATTTTATACATTTTATTGTAACATGTTGGAATACTGCATACAATGGAAGGTCTAGGCACAGTTTGCTTGTGCTAAGCACCTGAGACAGACAGTATGCAGAAGTTTCAAAAAGTTTGAAGTTTTGGGGGTTGTTTTTGTTCTGGAGTTTGTTGGTTTGGGGTTTTTTGGGGGTGGTTTGTTTGTTTGGGGTCAGTTTGGGGGGTTTTTTGTTTGGTTTGTTTTTTTGCAATGTGTGGAGGTTCACATAGTGAAGTTTCATTGGGTAACCTCAGTGCTGTTCTTTGAATGTTGGTACTTAGAGATGTTGGGTGAGGAACCAAAGGGCAGGTGACAGCAGAGAAAGAAACAACCACAGACGACAGAAAACTGACCTCTGCAGACCAGCTGAAGGGTTCGCTGTTATGAAGCTAGTTGGCATTTTTGAGGAGGAGGATAGGAATAATTTATCGAAAATAAACAGACCTGGAATTAAATTCTACAGCGTAACGCACAGAGCACTGATCGAGGGATTAATGGGGACGACTTCCAGACCTCAGCAGCTTGATGCGGCCGAGAAGGTGGATGCGGACAAGCCTGGCCTGGAAGCAGCAGTAATGCAAAGCAGAAGGCGGGCAAGAGGGATTCTGGAGCGTCTTCCAAGGAATTTGCAGAAACAGTGAGGAGGTATCACAATCTTGCCGCAGACGCACTGGGCTCAGTGCAGCTACGGTCGCCCGAGCGAAAGAAGGCTCAGCTCTAGGCACTCTGCCGCAGTGCCGGGAAGCCCAGCAGGACCACAGGAAAGGGAAGGGAAGGCGGGTGACTCCATAGGGAACCGTGCGGCACGGCGGCCCGTCCTGCCCGGCCGTACGAGAAAGACCCTGGGTTTCGCGGCCGACAGCACAGGCGATGGGCACGGCCGCGGTAGCGCTGGGGGCGCGGACGCGAGGCGGGGGCGCGGACCGGGAGGCGGGGACGCGCCGGCCCCCGGGAGCTGTCTTCCCCGCCCCCTACTAGCGAGGAGCGCGCCTGGTGCGCCACGAGGATGCGCCCGCGCGCCAGGCCCGGCCCCCGCGGCGGCTCTGACGGACGTGGTGAGTCCGCCCCTCCCCTCATCTCCCCTTCCCGGGGTAGGGATGGGTGGGTGGATGGGTTAGTGTTCGTCCGTCCGTCCGTCCTCGGCGGGGACGGGAGTGCTCCCGCCGGGGCTGCCCGCCCTGTGCTCTGGCGGGCTGGGAGCTGTGTCCCACTGCCAGGTGGGTTTGGCGGCGGCGTTTGGGCCTCCAGCCCCAGGGGCGCCTCGGAGAGAAGTGTCAAAGCCCCTCGGGCCCTTCTTCGCACGGCCTGGCTTGTGCCAAACGGGGGCAGCGGCGCCTCCCGCGCTGCCGCCGCCTCCTCCCCGCTGGCAGCTCTGTTCCTCATCGCCCTGGGGGTCTCGGTCTGCGTGGCTTTAGTCAGGGATTTGGCGGAAGACCTCATCATGATAGAGCCAGGCTCTTTTCGGTAGTGCTAAGCAATAGGACAAGAGGCAACGAGCAGAAACTGATGCATGGGATGTTCCACCTGAGCACGAGGAGGAACTTCTTTACTGTGCAGGTGACTGTGCACTGGAACAGGTTGCCCAGAGAGGCTGTGGAGTCTCCCTCACTGGAGATGTTCGAGAACTGTCTGCAGGCAATTCTGTGCAATGTCCTCTAGGACGCCCCTGCTTGACCCACTGTGGTCCCTTCCAACCTGACCCATCCTGTGATCATCCATGAGGAGCCACTATCAAAAGGCCAGATCCTCTCTTCCTCCTTTTGCAAAGCTCTACTGCTTATTCATGAATGTTATTCTTGCATAATAATAATTCAAATAGAAAGATCTTGCTCATGCAAACATTCTTTCAGGCACTTGTGGATCCCACACTCCAAGACCCTATTAATGTAGATAACTATATTATCTAAAATACTTCACAGTTATGCTTCAGGAACCAAACTCTTTATTGTAGAACTTTGGCGCTCCAGAGTCACTAAAACCTGAAAATCCTTTGCCCACAACTAAAAGTGTAGTAGATGATTATATTTTCATCAGGTATGCATATCTTGCATATTTCTCTTTAGAATACTTTTAATGAAAAGAAAGTTAGTCCTATGTTTTGTTTCTTTCATGAGTAACACTAACATTGCACCTGGAAGTCTCTCATACTTTGTAAGTAAACAGTTATGTGATAAGGCTTTCCAAAGGGTCATAGTGTAATTATTCTTATAGGTGTTTGGTGGGGGGGGGTTAGAGCAATTAAGGCTGTGAAGCATTTCTTTTTGGGCTTAGATTGAGGAATACCCACACTCATCTGGGCTGTCACCTTTTGTTCCTCTCTGTACTGCCACAGCTGTTTTTGTACCACTGTGTTGAACGTGACTGGGAATTGATCTGTCTTCTGTCAATAAGAGGATGGGTTTCCATCTGCATGAGTTCTCTGATGAAGTTCATGTTAAAATGTCTGCAATGAGCAGTTCTGAGGACACAGAGTGGGGACTTTGGAAGGGGGCAAACAGCTGGGTGATCTCTATGCTGGCATAAGTGGCTCTCCTGTCAAATGTGAAACTTGGCCATAGTTCTACAGGTTGTGTATGTGTCTGCCCCCCTTTTTTTTCCCCTTCTCCTGAAGCTGTGATTTCCTAACCAAGATGAATGCATATTTACAGATGTGCCTAATTACCTTTCTGCTTAGAGCAGTCCTTGGTTTACTTGAGCTGGAAGAGGATTTATATTATGGGAAATATGACGTTTGGATTGAAAAAAAGACATTTTGCCCAAAGTATTTCTAAATGGTAGAAGTATAGAATTACAATTTTTTTTGTTTAGGCAGGAAGTGTGTTCTAAGGACTGTGTTTGTAGCAGTACTCATGTAATTCAGGTACTGGCTCCAGCAACTGTGTGTTGCTGTGCCACTCACTTCCCTGTTTATTCACTGGCCTCTTGTAACCAGAGCAACTGCAATAATTGCTGGTGTGCTGGCATACTGTGGTAAAACAGCAGTCAGTTGTGGCTTGAGAGAAGGCATGTTGAAGTGGTTATTCATTTTCATTGCTTCTTTTTTCTCCTTAGGTAATTCTAGAAGCTATGGATATACTCTTCAGAATAAGAGGAGGCTTGGATCTTGCATTTCAGCTAGCAACTACTGATGGTGTGTCTATTAGACTAATAGATTTCTTAATATTTATATAAACTTTTACTAATAAACTAGTTATTTATTTTGTTTACATTTCACCAGCTGTTAAGTGCTTCTTCCAAAACCTGTAACAATTAAGTACGCAAAATGTTATTCTTTATCTCCGTAAATTTTCTGACAATCTTTTTCCATCATGTTTTTTATTTTCAGCTTGACTGCAAAGTTGACCCTGAAATTCAAAGCAGACAGAGAATAATTAAACGACAATGAATTTGGTTATAACAAGATTGTATTAATACAGTTTTGGGACTGTGGTCCAGTCTTCCTAGAGAAATAGAGAAGGGGAATAAGTCAACTAGTCAGCCTACTGAATTTAGGTGGGATTGGCTACGGCAATTCCCACCTAATAACAAGGGACTAGTCCATATGGTGTTAAGGGGCTCCTCTAGTCCCACACTGTTACAGTAATGTGACATCCTCTTCAGAAAGTCAGCTCAAAGCTATCAGCGACTTATTGAGCTGTCACAGGACAGAATGTGGAAGGAGGTTGTCTTTAGTTCAAATGTTACTCATTCTGCATTTTAAGACAAGTCTCTGCTAGAGACACTGAATTCCATGTTAGTGAATCTTGAAAAGGAATTTGGGCTTATTTGAGGTCATGATGTGCAGTGGAAGTGTGGAATAGATTGGTCTAATGCAAAGCAACATTTTGTGAGTTGCATCCTCAAAGAAGGGCTATTTATTTGGCTTAGTTTACAGTGTAGTGAACTTTAACTGCAGTGAAGCAGAGTGGTATTTGAATTGTCCAGATGCATGGTATTCACAGCTCTTAGTGTGTAAATATGACACACCATTCCCTTTGAAGGCAGTACGTTTTTCTTTTGGAGCAGTTTTCCTGACTTTTCTAATACTGTAATTTTTAACATACTTCTAGTGCAAAAGTTATCTAATACTTACCAAATTGAAGTTAAAGGATTAAAGATATACAGTATAGTCTTTGGTGACTTGTTAGGCTTTTTTAACTTTTTGTATTCTAAGCAAAGGTCTTTAACCTCCTCAGTGAAGAAAAAATGTGGGTAATGTGCAAAAGTTGCTCTGTCATGTGCAGTATTGGTTCAGGTTATAAGGTGTGGATAAAACTTAAATAGTCAAGTCAAGCTCTGAAAGCCAACTGTCTATACCAGTAATAAAGTTTAAGGCAGATCAGGGTTACAGTTGCAGGTTTATTTTGGCCAGAACTTGGTCTTCAGTTGGAATGTAGGCTCTGCTTTTCCAAACATTTAGTCTGTTTGTATTTCTGAACAATGATATGAAGTCAGAAACATGTGACTCAGGTTGAATCTTTCCGGGATTTAGTTAAAAGTTTGTCTGTACGTAGAAGTTTGTTTGCAACTGTAGGCTTGGTTAAGAATTATAGATGTGAGAATTGACTGCAGAATAGGTTATTCTTCTGTAATTCATTCAGCTCTTCGTATTTGACATCTGAGAGAAAAGAGAACTTTTGTTCAGGGAGGTATGAGTATGACCTGCTAAGTGAAATCTCACATCAGTTTTTGTTTACCTAGTCATTTTCCTCATCCTAACAGCATTTAGGGTTTTATTCCAAGTTAAAATTTTTTTTTTAATGTATACCCAGCAGCTATAAAAAAAAGAGCAAGGGAATTTTCTAGTCTAATTGTATCCTTATTGTGTTTCAGAGGCATCAACAAAAAAGGCATTAGGATATGTTTTCAGTGATCTTGCAAACAAATTGTCCTCAGAGGTTCTTGTATTAAGAATTTGCCACAGTTCAGTGTATGTGTGGCCTAACAATGGTATGACCACAGTTCCAGATCTGACTGATGAGTCTGCATGTAAGGAGATAACACGATTTATCCAGTGAGTATATTAAGAATTGGGGGGAATAGCAGATTAACTTCTTATTATAGTAATTTCTCTTTCTGTTGATACTTCAGATTTGATCAAGATGACGAGACCAAACGAAAGCCTGGCAAAAAGAAGGATAAGAAGTTACAAGATATGGTATGTCTCTCACCCCAGTAAAAAATTATGTGAGGCAATTTATCATTTAAACATTTTCAGACTTTCCCTCCCTGGGCTATTTTGTGCACAAGTAGACATTAACATGAGTTAAAAGAATCATTTTAAAGTCATTGAGACTCAATGTGAGTGCAGAGGTCCACCTATGGTAGATCAGCACGTAGAAGTTTGATGTTTCTAGCTTTTTTTTAACCCAGATATTTCATTACTGAGTTCAGTATCAAATATCTACAATCTTTCTTTTGCCTACTTGATGCATGTGTAGTTGCAGATGTCCTATTGGTGTCTTTATTCTCTGCAGCAGCAGATAGTCAATGTAGACCTCATGTTGGAAATGACATCTTCTTTAGCTGCTTTGGCTCCAATCATTGAAAGGGAAAATAAGGAACACCACTACATAAATATGACATTACCAGTTGATGTTGTTGTATCTGTTTCTCCAGAAGAAACGTGGGGAAAGTAAGTGTTATCCTGAACTTGTAATTTTTCAGCTTCATTTCTGCTTTTTCTTGAAGTAATGAAGTGAAAGTATTTCACTCATCATTTTAATGAAAAGTATATAGTATTTTTAGAGTGGAATTTTAACTGTGTAAATAATAAAAGCTCATGTAGACAGCTGTTACCTTTAATAATCTTGAGAACAATCCTTTTGCTGCCTGCAAAAAATTGAGTTCATCAATGCTGATAGATTTGATAACTCATAACTATTACTTAGCAATGAGAAAGGCAGGGAAATGTTCTAAAAATTCTTGTAAGTGTGTGAGGTGTATAAAAGTGAGAGTTGGGGTTTATTTGATGAGTCTTTCTAATCTCAGCCATACACTAGGGACTGCAGCTGGGTGGGTGCAGATGGAAAACGTTTGAAGCTGCCTCTGTATTTTTTCCTTGTATTTTTCCCATAGGATTTGACTCTGAACAATACTAAATGGGGTGGATAAAATGGAAAAAAAAAAAAAAATCCCAAACCAAACCAACCAAACAAAAAAACCCCCATGTAGTCATATATGTAATTTTTATTTTGGCAAATGCTCATAATGGTTGTATTTCTGATAAAAAACAGCATAGTTGCACTTTGGAGGATTGAATCACTAGGGACTGGTTTCTGTGTGCAGACATGCCTTGACTAAAGCATGGTGAGGCTCTGCCTTTGCCTGTGGGAGCAGAAGCAGGAAAGTAGTACATTCATCTGACCAGGTGCAGATATGCATATAAGTATTGCATAACTGCCAGAGCTATGAGAGAAAATGATCCACCATCGCTGCTCTGCTTTTTTAATATTCTCCCTTGGACTTTGCAGGGTACAAAATCTCCTGGTGAAAGCAATTCATGGGCAATTAGATGACATGGAAAGATGTATCATGAAATACGTGAAAGGAACATCAATTGTGGTACCAGAACAATTTCATTTCATGTTACCAGGAAAAAATCATCTTGTAACAATCTCATACCCTACAGGTATTTCAGATGATCAACTGGAAAGTTACAGAAAGGTGAAGCCAACAGTTTTATTTTTATTTTTAATTGTTGTAATTGAAGCAGTGGTAAAGCTTTTCATTTAGTCAATGCAGAATAAATACTAACAGATAACGTTATTTTTTAAAAATTTATTTTTATTGTAACCAAAGCAGCATACTGAATGTGGAAGCTTGATTTATTAGAAGTTATTTTATAAAATATGTGCCAGATCTCATTTTGGTAAGAGAACAATAAAAACTTTAAAAGTACATAAAATTTGGTTTAGATAGATTTTATCTATCCAGTACAGTATTCTTTGAATTTCTTCACTTCCATGATAGAATATCAGATTATGTGTAGCGTTTTTCTACATTCAGGCTTTAACACATGTCCTGAAAGGGTTAATGCTGGGAGGATTTGTTTGTTTTGGTTTCTTTCTTGGGGTTTTGTGGGGGTTTTGTCTGTTTGTTTGGAGGGGGCTGCTTTTTGTGGCTTACAGCTGACCAGGCTTAGCTAGCTTTTGGTTTGTTTTTGCCTTCTGGGTTGGCACATCTTGAAAAAGGAGGATGAGGTGGAAGAATGTTGTGATGGGGCAGAACCTTCAGACTGAGACTGAGTTCAACCAGGTCACACATACTGAGAGCAGGGAAAGAATATTCTGCCAGTTTAGAGATGTAGAAGCTGTGGTGATTTTTCATTTTCTTCTGTGTGAAGCATTCCTAGGTCTATAAAACCTAATCTAGCCTTGCATTTGCAGAGGCCTCAGGCACTGGTGGCACACTGTCTTTCCTGCTCTCTGTCTGCTGTTCACTCTTACCCACTGATGGAAAGTGTTACCTCTGCCTAAAATGTATTACCTGTGTTACACACATTATCCTAGATGATCTCATCATTCCTTTCACTTTTAAGCTCTGTGAAATAAGACAGTATATCTCTTTAAATGTGGCTGCTGTGTTATAAACAGGGCTTAAGAGATTTAAAAATAGACTGAATCTGCTTGAGCCATAAGCTCAGTATCTTTAGTTTGTCTCAATACAAGGTATTTGTGTGTCTTCAGTATCAGTTAAGATTATAATTCAGTGTGTGTATCTATCTACACTACTACATAGATAAAACTGTAATTCTTTTCCGTGATGTATTTTATCATACTTCCATAACAAACTTGTTACTCATGGTGTCTTCAGTGGGGCTCCAGTGGCAGGCATTATGTAACAGGACTACATAAAACAGTGGGCCCTTTAGACAGGAGGTAAGCCTGCATGAGCTTCCCTTGAGACGTGAGATCTAGTAGTAAACATACATGCTGAATGTTTAGTTAAGCATATTTTAATAATTTGCTAAGCTACGCTGTTAAAATTATATATGTCTTTGTTGCTACTTACAATTTGATCTTTCTTGTAATCCAAAATTTGAATTGTGCTCTTTATTTTTATTCAAACTTGCATGTAGGAATTGCATGGGTTATACAATCTGCCTTGTGACAGACCATATTTCAAGAGAGCAAATGCTTATCATTTTCCAGATGAACCATATAAAGATGGATATCTCAGAAATCCACACTTACATCTTAATTCTCCTGGTATGGAGCCTGGTATGGTAAGTTTAAGTTGAACATTTGTGAGAAAGTACTTTTTATTTTACTTGAGTTTGTTATTAAAAGCAGTAACTTAGATCGTCAGTGTTGTGTAGATGAGAAAGTGAAATAATTGGCCCAGCCTTTTAAATCAAAGGGCTTCTCTGCGCAAAATGGCATTGCTTTAGTTTGCTATATTTGTCCCAAAGAAATTGGATTTTCTTGGAAAAGGATGTACACATTTTTAGCATGTACTTTAAAAGTTTCTTAGAACCAGGACAAGAAACTGAAACCATGAACAGAGATGTTTACGAGACAAAACCAGGAGGAGTAATCATGTGTGAATAATGGCCCTTTGATTCTTCCAAAGATTTGCAGTCCTCAGCTGAAAACTTTTACAGTGCAAGTGACAGGTCATATGACTTCTCTGAAAACTGATGCAAGTGTGATCAGATTCTTTTGTGTTATCTCTTTCTGTGCAGGTTTACTTAGTACATGGTGTGTATAGTTATCACCACTATATGCAGGATCGGACTGATGACAGTGGTTGGGGCTGTGCCTATAGGTCTTTGCAGACAATCTGCTCTTGGTTCAAGCACCAAGGTTACATTGATAGACCTATACCAACACACAAGGAAATTCAACAGGTATAGACCATTTAAGGAGATTCATTATTTTATGCATATTTGTCTAGAAATATTTGCGTAGATTATTTTTTAAAGATCCAATCCATATATTTTGATTTGTGTGATATTTTTAATTTATCTCTTAAATTGAACTAGTGGTTCTGAGTTACTGTTTTTAACAAGTTTTATTATAGGAGATCTGTCTGCAAATGTTTATCACTGTTGAATGACATTATCTGTACAAATAAGACTCCTTAAAATAGTCTTTTAAATGTTTCCTTGGATTATTGTTCTTTTAGAAGCTGAGATTATGACATTTTCAGTGTTTTTGCCAAATGAAAAGAGAACGAAGAACCCAGTGTGTCATACTAAAATCAGTTTTAAAACTGACTTTTGTATTCAGTGACAGTTGGATTAGTCCCCAGATGCTATGCATCTAGTTTTAAATGTTCTTTTGTAAGTCTGGATTTTGAGGAAAGGATCTTAAAAATGCGACAGAAAAAGTAAAAACATAACTCACTAAAATGAGATGTGTTGAGGAAAAAAAAAAAGAAAAAAGGAAATTCCTGTGTTAGTTTACTAGTACACCTCTATACCCAGTACCGGTATAGGGGTTGTTACAAACAGCAGATTTTCAGCATTATCATCAATAAGCTTCCTGACATACAGGATTGAATGCAGTTTTGGCTTTTCCTGAAATAGTATGTCCACTAATACTACAAGAGTGGCAAATTTTAGTTAAAAAACATGCAGAGACCTAATTAATTCTTTGCAATCCCAAGTACAGCTAGACCCCCTAGTCTGCTGAGGCTGCATTCCTGAATAATGCAGTAGTAAGCAATTCAATCAACAATAAAGCAATTTTTCTTGTAACAACTATTCTGAAAGAGAAAGCAAAAATACTTACACACTAATATTGGTGTTGGGTGGTTGGTCTCGTAGATGAGGCAGCTGAGATCTTTCAGAATGGAAATCTGTTCAGAAAAGTTAGCTGCTAGAAAGTCAGCACCTTGTCTGGCTGAAGTACTGGTGATGCCATGGCTCCCATGGGAAGCTCCAGGATCCAAATAAAAAATTAAGGTAAAATCCTTAACTTGTGTGGGATACTGCCAAATGTCTCAAAGAAAAAATAGTAAATGAACAATATCTAAACCTTTTTTATACAAGATGGTTATTAATTTTTTTTCCTTCATAAATAAACATTAGTGATTTAAAGCTAAAGGAAATCCACAGGGAAAAAAAAAGTTAATTTAAACTTATTAGTTTACATTTACTTATTAGTAATAAATAATCATATCACTAACACATACTAAAACAAAATATTTTTACCTTTGCATTTATTCTTTCTACTTCATCAGGTTCATGTTCATCCATGGTAAGATCTGCATAAACGTAAAACCAAAATTCATTACTTGGGTGTTCAGACCTCAAGAACCATTTAATAAATACTCTGCAAGAAGCAATACTGTGAAGTTACCCATATCCAGTTCCTGAACTAGTATAAAACTTCTTTCCAGGAAGAATATATCTTTCAGTGCTTTCAGTTGTGGACTGAAGTACACATATAAGCCTCCTATTTCTATAAGAGCTGACAAATGCACATCTAAAATAGCCACAGAAGGTTTTGAATACAGAACTCACACATAGTCTCTCCCATCAGAAACAGCACACTTATAACTGCTGATTTTGGCTAGGGTAGAGTTAATTTTCTTCCCCATGGCTACTATGGGGCTGTGTTTTGGATTTATGCTGAACACAGAGTTGGTAATGTACAGATGTCTTTTGTTTTTGCTGAGCAGTGCTTACACAGAGCCAAGGCCTTTTCTGCTTTTTGTACTGCCACACTGGTGAGGAGACTGAGGGTGCAGAGGAAGTCAGGAGAAAACACAGCCGGGATAGGTGACCCCAGCTGACCAAAGGGATATTCCACACCATAGGACATCATGGTCAGTACATCAGTGGGGGAAAGAAGAGGGGTATTTGGGGTGACGGTGTTTGTCTTCCTAAGTAACCGTTACACGGGATGCGGCCCTGCTCTCCTGGGGATGGCTGCCTACCCATGGGAAGCAGTGAATTAATTCCTTGTTTTGCTTTGCCTCTGTGTGTGTCTTTTGCTTTGCCTAATAAACTGTCTTTAACTCAACCCACCAGCTTTCGCTTCTCTGATTCTCTCCCCAATTTTGCTGGTGGAAGAGTGAGCAAATGGCTGTGTGGGCCTTGGCTGTTGGCTGGGATTAAACCACATGAATATCCAACAGAAAGCTCCGAGAGATTCATATCACACATTAGCCATGTCTGTCGTGGGTGCAGAGCAGAAAAGCCGCAGCATCACAGTGGTGGAAATACATCTAATAACATAGATTTTATACATTTTATTGTAACATGTTGGAATACTGCATACAATGGAAGGTCTAGGCACAGTTTGCTTGTGCTAAGCACCTGAGACAGACAGTATGCAGAAGTTTCAAAAAGTTTGAAGTTTTGGGGGTTGTTTTTGTTCTGGAGTTTGTTGGTTTGGGGTTTTTTGGGGGTGGTTTGTTTGTTTGGGGTCAGTTTGGGGGGTTTTTTGTTTGGTTTGTTTTTTTGCAATGTGTGGAGGTTCACATAGTGAAGTTTCATTGGGTAACCTCAGTGCTGTTCTTTGAATGTTGGTACTTAGAGATGTTGGGTGAGGAACCAAAGGGCAGGTGACAGCAGAGAAAGAAACAACCACAGACGACAGAAAACTGACCTCTGCAGACCAGCTGAAGGGTTCGCTGTTATGAAGCTAGTTGGCATTTTTGAGGAGGAGGATAGGAATAATTTATCGAAAATAAACAGACCTGGAATTAAATTCTACAGCGTAACGCACAGAGCACTGATCGAGGGATTAATGGGGACGACTTCCAGACCTCAGCAGCTTGATGCGGCCGAGAAGGTGGATGCGGACAAGCCTGGCCTGGAAGCAGCAGTAATGCAAAGCAGAAGGCGGGCAAGAGGGATTCTGGAGCGTCTTCCAAGGAATTTGCAGAAACAGTGAGGAGGTATCACAATCTTGCCGCAGACGCACTGGGCTCAGTGCAGCTACGGTCGCCCGAGCGAAAGAAGGCTCAGCTCTAGGCACTCTGCCGCAGTGCCGGGAAGCCCAGCAGGACCACAGGAAAG